GCCATTGTTAGGTTTGCTTTCGCCATCGTTAGGTTTGTTTACAGAGGCAAGTCGAGAAACAGAGAGAGTGAAAAAAAAAATAGAGAGGGTAGAAGCAATGCACATATTTTATAGTCAAACTTGTGCTTATTGGACTTTTTAGTGGGCCCAGTATAAAGGCCCATAATCTAGTAAAGATCCGACTATTTGACCCGCAAGTTATTTTTAACGGCTCTCCGTCTCTTCCACCACTTAACGTCAGTCAGTGGTCCGTCGACACTTGACAGATTCTGTGTCTGTGTGTGAAGATAATGCAGACTCATCTCCTAGTGGGACCCATCCCACTCAAGGGCTGCCGTCGATTCTCCTCCGTCTTCTCCGACGATCTACTCTCTCCGTCGTACAATCCGATTTGCCGAGACCTAAACCATCACCACCGTCGAAGGCACCGCGAAGGCAGATCTCGGTGCCAGCGCAGTCGCCGGAAGACGAGTGTTATATCTGCGGCGTCTTCAGCTTCTAATACCGGCGGGCAGAACCACTACGTTGTCTTGGGCATCGCTCGCAACGCCACGCAAGTTGACATCAAGAGAGCTTATCGCTTGCTCGCTCGAAAGGTAAATGATATGAAATTGCAATCTGTATTAGGTTGAGAACAAGACCATTTTGTTCTTCTAGCCATGGAAGAAGATCCATGAACGGAACATAGCTTGGATTGTATCCAGGAAATGGTCAAATTAGGCACTAAAAATTTGGGGGAAATAAAACAGTTAATCTTGTGTTTGTATGTGAACTCTATCTGAGTTATGATTCAGCCTTTAAGCTGTTTTTGTTTATCATCATATCAACCTCTGTCTGGAATTTGGTGGAGCTTGTTCTCTGTTTTCTTGTATTTCAATCTAAGCTCTTGTTTTCATGTTTGTGACTGTATTCCTGTGTTGCTATTGCAGTTTCATCCTGATGTGAACAAGGACTCTAAAGCTGGAGAGCGATTCAAGAGCATTCGTTGTTCATACGAAGTGGGTATTTCTTCTAAAGCTTGCTTCTTTTTCCTTCTATCCCCTATATCTGATTGCTGAAACACAAGCATTGAGTTTATCTTGGAATCCAATGTACTATCAACCGATGGAATCTGATTCATTCTACCTCTACTTTTCTGGAAGGTACTATCTAATGAAGCTACAAGGACTCAGTATGACCAAGCACTTAAACTTGAAGAAAATTCCCGGTACTATAGAGTGAAAAGGCATTACAACACAGCTGAGGTTGAAGATGCTCCTTACAGCTGGTCTGAGAAAAGACGCGGATCCAGATATGAGAGATTCTATGGACAGTATTCTACATATCCTAACCCACATTTCTACAGTGAAACCGATAGCAGGCCACAGGAAGAAGATAAAGAAACGAGACAAGAACAGCTAGAGTCCTTTGTCGAAGTTCTCAAATCCACCTTCTTATCGATGTTACTTCTATATACAATTGGGTGCCTAGCATCTCTCACGTTTAGCACATTCACAGCTTTGCTCGACAAGGAACTCGACATGGGTTACAAAGTCGGGTTCATGATTGCATGGATACTAGGCGGGAAAGGCGGTATCCTTCTCGCTCTGTGCCTAACATTTGCAAGCTGGCTCTGTGGAAAAGCAAGCAGCAGTGTTGTGGTTCTCGTGGTAGTCGCTACGTGGGTTTGCTCCAATTTAGCTAGACATGCTCCTCTTCCACAAGGAGCTCTTCTCACCCTCCTCTACATGTCAATCAAGCTTCAAGTCGACTCGAGCTGAACCTTTTCGACAGTTTCACAGTACGTCGGTTTAATCACTACGTTAGGTGTATATAGCTAAATACAAATGGTCTTCATCAAGTTTAAATGCTTCTTCTCTATTGCAATTTCCTTAAAGATCCTGATGATTGTGTATTTTTGATTTTGGGTTTGGAGAAAATTGAATAGTAAAGAGAAGAAATTTCTTGTTGATCTTTTTTCCAGATTACAAACAGAAGTAATCAAAATTACAAAATTCAGGAGAAGAAATAGAAAAAATAAGAGGGTTATTATTATAAACTCGTCTAAGTATTGATCATTGTTCTTAAAACTCTCTGCACAAAGAAAAAAGATGAAATCTTGAAATTGAAATCCTCTTCTTCTTCATTGACTTTTCTCTTTCATTTCCTTGAGATTCCTCCAAAGATATCTTCCGCTGGCCATATCGACGAAAACCCAGAAACCATTCTCCATCTTCTGTTA